GCGCCGAAGACGAGGCGGCGCGCCCTGCTGCAGTCGCAGTCGTGGAGCTGGGAGCCGGGGCCCTTTGGGCGGGAAACCAGAGGGAGTGGCCCACACAAAGCCTGTGGTCTTCTGGCACCAACACCGGCACAGCAGCCCCCCGCCGGCGCCATGTTGGGCGTGCGGGCCCCCGTCCCCGCCCCTTGGTCTCAATCAGGACCTTTTGGAGGGTAAAAAGTGTTTTGGTCAGCAGGCTTTGTGGCCGTTTCCTGCGGACGGGGTGATGAAACTGCGTTTTCAGCCTTGGCAGCTCATCCTAGTTACAAACATGGATGCAATCCGTGAGAGTGTAGGTTCCAGACTCTTGAGATGACGTCAACTCCAGACAAGGGCCATGCACTCAGAAGTAGCTTGTTCCTGGGGTTGCCCACCTCGGGGTCGGCACGGGTAGGAGATGAGGTAAACCACCAGCTCAACAACTATCCAGTCGCGTTTAGTGAAGATGTGGGCCGAATGCAGCCCTCCAACCTCACGTCCTAAGTCTAAGGTTTTGGGCATTTTAGGGACAGCCCCAATTCTTTAACTGATGTCTTGGTCCCCCTCCCCAGGCAAGCAGCCACAACTGGCAGCGAGAGCAGGCAGCCAATAGCCCCACCGGTTGTCAAGTTCCTCAGAAAAGATTCCACCACGGGGACTCTTCCCCGAGTAGAGAGAGGCCAATGACCAAGCAGTTAGCCTCGTAGTCCTGAGCGCACTTGCAAGCAAGTCTGTTGGGAACCCAAGTGACGCAAATTGGGCACAACACCTGAGAATCTGCCTGCTGGGAACTCCAGTCCGAGTCCTAAAGGACCCTCAGGAAAACACCAAGGACAGCTCCACGCTGCAGGTGGGAGTGTAAATTGGTTCGGCCTCTTGGGAGAGCAGAGACTAATAAAACATCAATGTCCGAGCTCACGTCCCTACATTTCCATTTCTAGGGAGATGCTCTCGAGTTAAACTCACAGGTATGCACAAGGAGACACGTAGCACAGCATTCACTGCCACATAATTTATTGTAAAAAAAATGGAACACATAAATGTCCATCAGTGGAGAAATATATAGATACGTCATTTATATTGTGGATCACTGTACGGCATTTAAAAGGAATGAAATTTATATCAGCAGGGTTAGACGCAGAAGGATGATGTTGAGAAAAGAAACGAGCCAGGGAAATGTGATACGAGCTTTATATAGTCTAACCACAGTGGATATAATTTTATAGAGAGAGTATATATAACACCACATGTATATTTTTTACAAACACATAAAACTATTCTTGGATGTATGTAAAATTTTTAAGTTGACTGCAAGAACATAGGCCGATGTCCTATGATTCTGATGGCTGTAGCTTCGAGAGACAGGAGTATGATGGGCTTGGACAGAGGGGTCAAAGACTTTATCTCCAATGTTCTAATTATTTTTTAAATTTTTTAAATAAAGGTCATGAAAGCAAATATGACAACATGTTAACTTTTGTATAAGTCCGGGTGGTGATGACACCAATGTTTATACCTTTGGCATTTAAAAAAAATTTTCCACCGAAAAACCAAGGGAAAATGTCAAACCAAGCGTATCAGTTGCTCTCATGCCCAGCCTTCTGGGTGGTTTGTTCATTAGCTGCGAGTCATTAGCTGGCTCAACTCCACAAATTCTAAGGATCATCATCTTAAGGACCACTGTGAAAAACGGGAAAATATCCTTAAGCTGGCACACATAAGACTTCCTCCCAAGAAAACCGCCCAAGCTATTCCAACTGTCAATAGCTTTGCAGTTCACAGAGGTACTTGCTTGTCTTTGCTATCCGGCGTGGACTACAAACCCATGCTTCACCTGTAGTTCAAAAATCTGCAGCCAAATGCACAAAGAAATGTATGCGGAATTACAAAAAAGCTACAAAAAAAACCCCCCAAAAACAAGGAATTCCAGCATCCATTCTGCTGACTTCCCCCAAATTAAATTGCTTACTTTGTCCTTGATCTTTATCACTCCCTCCTTCTCTCTCTCTGTGTACGTATGATTTTTTAACATAGTGTACATATATATGATCTTCCCTTCCGCGATGTTTGCATGAAAGTAGCCCAGAGATCGCCCCTCGGTGTGTGTTATACCCCTAACACTAAGCACATTCTGTTCCGTGACCACTGTGTGGTCATCAGAATCGGGAGTTAGCGTCCTCACCGTCTGCATCTAATCTTTAGACCTTAACTGCCAGTGATCTCCCTCCCTCCTGTCCTTCATGTGGTGCAGGATCCACCCGGCTTCATGCATCGCATTTACCTGTCCTGCCTTTCTGTCCTTTCCAGTCAGGGACGGTTACCGTCATCGCCTCTCGTGACCTCGACACCTGGGCTGAGTGTTTTGCGGGCCGGTTATTTTGTAGAATGTCCCTCTGCGTGGCTTTGGTACTTTCTCAGGGTTAAAGTCAGGTTATGCAGTTCGGGTTGGGACACCACGGAGGTGCTCTGTCCCTCTCAGCATCTCATCGGGAGGCACAGAATGATCTTAAAACACATCAGACTGTCCTCTCTTAAACCCTGCGATGGCTTCCTATCTGTCTCACTTAGGTACATGAAGTCCACACCCTACCGAGTCGTTACGTGAGTTCGTTTGTGCCCCGTCTTGGGCTGCTCTCCCCGTAATTCTGCTGCAGCTACACAAGCCTTTCTGGACGTTCCCTTGGCCAAGGTTGTTCCTGCCTCAGGGCCTTTGCACTTACTGGTCCCTCTGCCTAAAATGCACTTCCTCCATATCTGTGCCTGCTGGGCGCCTTCTTACCCTTCAGGTCGCAGCTCTGATGTCACCTCCTCAGGTAGGCCTACCTGACCCCTCCTTGTAACATGGCATCGTCAGACCAGCCAGTCCCCATTTCAGTACCCGTTTCATTACCTCCAAAGTGCTTACTGCTCACTTGATTATTCGCCAGCTTGCTTTTCCATCCTTCTTTTCCTTACAGGAATAAACAAAGTGCCTCGTTTGGCAGGGCGTCGAAGGTATCCAGCACCATGCCTGGCACCCAATGGGCGCTCAGTCAGTGTCAAATACTTGAGTGAATTATTCTTGATCCCATCTGAATGCAGAAAGAGGAGCCAGAAACAGCAGCATTATATTCTACTACTAATAGTGATTTAAACATACATGCTTATTCGAATTTTAATAATATGATCTCGTGTTCAAGACGAACGTCAAGCAAGATAGCAAACATTTACCAAACATACAGCCAAGCTTCCAAGCTTTTCTATTCGTGCCGTTTGCAAAAATAATAGGGAAGCTATTCGCAAAGATTTCGTCATGGGATTCATTCATCTGCGGGGGGTGGGGGGATGGGGGGTGACTATCGGAAACTTATCAAATGAGATATTTTCTTTATCTGACAGTTGGTTTCCTGCGTGGGGCGTACCTCATGCACAGATTACGTGCTATGTTTTAGCATTAGCACGGAAATTACTTTCCTCGCAAGGAAAACACTTGTATATCCACACTGCGCAGCCATCTGATCTCTCAGTCACAGAAAGATCTGAACAGAGCACAGGGGACACTCTGAGGGCCCGTGAACGCGATCTCACCTTTGGGTGTGTTGCTGTCGTATGCTGCAGTAGGTCACTATGTACTTTCTGTCTGAACTAGTTGCCAGCATTTTAAAACGTGATGGTTTTTAAATAAATCCACAAATTCTTTGGTATTTCCTGCTTTAAAAGATTGGGCCTAATTTTCCTGACCTGGAGTGTGCGCCGGACTTGGTGACTTAACATCTAACAGAGGGAGTATGTGAGGATAGTGTGACTTCCGAGACTGGCAGAGGCTCTGTGGCTTCCATCTTGCTGACTGGAGGAAGACAGTCACCACATTGCGGGGACAAGCACGGCCTTATGGACCAGTCACTACCCTGTGTGTGGGTCGAGGCTTTGATGGCTGCAGCCCTGCGTGCATGGTACCTGAAGCTTCATGGGCTCATGGGGCCTTGAGTCGAAACCACCCAGTTACATCACCCCTGAACCAGTTACATCCCCTGAATTCCTGGCTCGTGGAAACTGTGAGATAATACTGTTTATTGTCATTGCAAGCCATTAACTTTGGGTGTAATTTGCCATGCAGTGATAATAGCTAATACAGAAAAATAAGTATATTTTACATAAAAATCCAAATATCTGTTTTCTTTTGAAAATCAAGATTAGGAGGCACTGAACCCAATTTCTCGCATGGCCACAAACAGCCACTGTCCCCACACATGGGACAAACACTGCCCTTTGCCTCTGGCCCCACCATTCTCCACTAAATCTCAGATGGCAGGCCTAATGTCATTTGCCCCTTGTCATCTGACACTCAGCCAGCTCTGTTCACTTCTCTGCCTGAGTCCTGAAATGTTTGCGTTCGCACCCTCTGGTTTAGTGAGTCGAAGACACAGTGATGAGAACGTAGATTTCTCCATGCGAGCGATGTTTGTCGAGCACCTACCATGTACCAGGCACTCCCTGAGGACTGGGGCATGGAATAAAACAGACCCAAAGCTCCTGGTCTTACAGAGCTTTCATTCTAGAAGGAAGAAACAGGAAATAGACTTGATGAGTAAGTGAAACATATGATGTAGTGATGATCACCGAGGTGAAAAATACGGCAGGTCAAGAGGATGCGGGTCAGAGGAAGAGGGTCAAAGTTGACGTGACCAGCGGGCCTTCCCTGTGAGCGCGACATTCGAGCCCAGACCTGCCGAAGGTGAGGGAGGGAGCCACGCAGGTATGAGGGGAGAGAGCTCCAGGGAGAAGGACTGGCCAGGCCGAAGGCCGTGAGGCGGAGCCCGCCCGGGGCTGTCAGCGGTGCCAGGCCTGCGGCTGGCGGACGGGCTGGGGAACGTGGTCAGGGGTGGGGGGCATGTTTCGATGTATTTCTGTGCGAACTGAGCGCAAGGGGCCTCTTGTGTTGGGAACAACGACGGCTTTTTTTGCAAGGGAGATTTAGAAGCAGACTGCTGGCAGTCCGCAGTGGGACAGAGTGCTGTCTGTGAGAGAAATTTCAGTTTGCGTCCCCTGTCACCTCGGCAGAATCTAGTCTAGGAAAAGAGGTTAGAAAATATCATAAAGACACAGAAGTATCTTGCAAGGGCATAAGGAGGCCTCCCAGAGGTCGAGACATACCAGGGACATTTTAGATCTATCCAACCATCCAACATCCATCCATCCATCCACCATCCATCTATTATCTATCTACCTATCATCTATCTGTATCTATTTACCTATCTATCTTTAGATATCTAAATATTTATATTTATGTCCAGATACATACACATGATATAGTATCTATATACCATAGTATAGTATCTATGCAGT